TTTTTTTTTTTTTTTTACATTAATTTTGTCTATTTTTTTTCAACTATAGTATATGTTCTCTTGTATTGTCCTCTCTTATCAGCTCTTTACATGCATTTTTTCTTCTATCTTTGCTTTTGCATTTCCCTTTTTTTAACATCCCTATTATTATTTTTTTTTTAATTTTTCTTCTCTTCTCTTCTCCTCTCTACTTTTTACATACATTTTTATACATTTGCTTTTTTTCTTTTCCCAGTTTTCTTTTCAAATAGCTAAGATTACAACTAAAAATAGCAGGCAAAAAGAAAAGCATTTCCTCTTTAATTTTTTAATTTTAATTTTATTCCTTTTTCCTTACTCACAGAAGCTATCAAAAACCCAGAAACTCCACCATGCTTCGTTATCTGGAGATGAAGCAGAAGTTGAAAAACTTCTAATAAGCAAAGGAGTTGGTGAGCTAATACATGTAGCTCTTGCCACTGTCTTGATTACTAAGGGGGGAGGGAGGGGGGAAGCTCAAATATTTACCTTAAGTAGAAGAACTGAGGGTGTCAGGGTCTAGCCACTTAAATTGTTGTGATTGGCTACTCACAACAGAGATAAACCAAAAATGTTGTTTTCCAAGATGCACTTTTCTGCATTATCAACAGAGCGAGAAGGGATAAACAAGTAGCTACAAAACCAAGGAGCTCAATTTGGAAGAAACAAAAAACAAAAGAATTTCAATTTCCTGAGAATTGGAAACGAACCTATTATTAGGGGACTTCAATTAAGTTGTAAAATCTATGATGGCAATGTCAACCACAATTGTAAATAATTTCTCTTTGGGGTTCTGTTCATTGGAGATTTCATTCAAATCTAAATTTTTTGTCATCAGATGTAAACCTCTGTGATTCTTTTGGCAAGACTCCGTTGCACAACGCCATCACTGGAAAACACCTCAACATTGTCATCTTACTTCTTAAAAGTGGGGCAGACGTTAAATCCAAAGATGGACGAGGAGACACTCCTTTACATGAAGCTGTGCGTACTGAAGATGAAAACATTGTGCAGGTATGGGGAAAAATGTCTCCTTTCTTCTTGATTCAATAGTCTTGAAAGAATATAGAGTATGGGATATCTACTCTAATTTCATTTATTTATTAGGCTATCTCATCACGAAAAAGATGTCCTATCAATGCCAAGGGACATGGAGATTACACGCCATTACATATTGCTGCTCAACTTGATAATGTAATGATATGTAAAATACTGGTGAGTTTCAAGTCATTGCTTCATGCATTTTACATTTATTTATAACTTAAGTTTAAACAAATGATTGTTTGATTATTTGGTTTTCTCCAAAGTAATTTTAAATTTTAAGTTTTTATATTTCTGGCCCTTTTGATAATTCATATTCATTTTATCTTTCCTTCATTCCTTCCTCCCTTCCTTCCTCTCTTCATTCCTTAACCATCATCATCATCATCATAATCCTCATCATCATCAACTCCACTACTACCACCACCATCATCATCATCGGCATTGTCGTCATCATCATCTGATGTCTATATCATTATTATTCTGTTAACTAAATATGAATCACTATAATCATTATTTATTTATTTCACATGTGAAGGTCAATCTAGGAGCAGAGATAACAGAGAAAAGTGAAGATAATATGACTCCCCTTGCAATTGCTGTGGCTAAAGGAGCAAGTGATGTTGCACAGTACCTTTTTGAAGAAGGTAAATATTAATTTCAAATATCTAATCCTACATTTAATCTTCTGTGCAAAAAATGAAAGTAAATAACTTTGGGGGTGGGAGTAAGAAGCAAATTTGCATCATGGACTTGAATTCCCCATGTAATTTCATGAATCATTTTTTTCAGAAATTGGTTTATCTATAAAATTAACTAATAACTAATTACAGTCCTACGTGCAAAAGTATGACCACAATATATATAAATTATGTATTCACATACTTCTATGCATGGGTTCTGTAAATTAAACTGGCACATTTTGATGCAAACCTAGCTCAGTGGTTTTACCAAATAAGGCATACAAACACTTGCTTGCCTGTGTACAGAAGTATGTGAATACATCAAATTTGGTTCATACTTTTGTGATTTGTGCTGTAACAACATGTTAACATATTTTCAGTGCAAGCAAAAAAGTTAGATACAGCGCCACTATTCTACAATGTTGGTTCTGATGGAAGTACGCTGTTACATCTGGCAGCAGATAGTGGTATACTTCCGGTAAGTATACTAAAAAAAGATTGATAAAAAATAGAATACTATATTTGAGGGCAATGATGAAAGGTGTACTGTATTATCAAAAAAAGTAAAGAGGACTAAACACATGCATTATCATATTAAAAACTTAAATGATAGAACAGCTAATAAATTTGAATGAAAATGCCTATTTGGAAAATGTAAATTGAAGAACTTAGTCAGAGAATGACTTCAGTCGTATCTATGAACACAACTCTTTCAGATCTCTTAGAAAACTGGCTTGAGTCTGCTATGATTAAAATGCATTATGCATTATTAATGTTTTAGGGAATGAAATAGCCAGTCTTGGAAATAATTATAAGTCCTCTAAAATAGCCCCATAATGCACTGTACTGCCAACTCAACCTTGGAGTGGCTAAATATAGAAGCTCCATAAAAGACTTGATTATGCAAGACCAGTAAACCACCCAAAAAAATATTACTTCTCAATAGTTATATACTTTTTGCCGTGAGTACCAGAGGTTTACTTGATTACACCGATCCTGCATTCATTATTCTATTTCCCTGGTTACTGCTGCTATACCAGGCAAGCTAAATTGTGTTTTTGATAATCTATAGTCTGAAATAGACACCAGTTGATTGTTAAAAATTGTAAATGTCTGTCTTAGAATAAATGCATTCTGAAGGTACATCAAGAATAAAATCTATAACTGCTAAAAAATATTATGAATTCAAGTTTTTTGGTCATATATTTTGTATTCCATTCAGAAAACTGCCCCTAGCTTAACCCACTCAAGCATAATCTATTACTTTGTTGCCCAAGAAGCACAAAGCCAGTAAGATTAATTACCTTGTAACAGGAGGAATTCCTCAACTACCAGTCCATACACAGTTTTCAACGGCAGCCTTTAGCTTCAAAGGAGTAAATCAAATAATGTTTAGTTTACATTTATTTTTAACCAAAAAAGTTTGGTTTATGCCATTAGCACAAGCACTTTATTTTAGTTACTTAATAGGGAAACCCTTCAATAGATAAAACCTTTAAAAAAATTCAAATAATTTATCATTCTTGTTTATTCTTCAGATTGTAGATTTGTGTCTTAGGAGTGGATGCCACATTGATGATACAAAGGTAAAATGGGCTATATATATTAGATACTCTCATTCATAGGCAACTCTGTTTGGGATTCCTTGGAATTGGGACATGAGATTAACCCTGTAGACAAAGCAGGAATGAACAAATGCCTTCCCAACACTGTTAGTTTCAAGATATCAATTTTTTTTCTAGGAAAGTGATGGAACTACTGCCTTCCATGTTGCCTGTGCCCAAGGATCTATAGAAATTGTTCAGTTGCTAGTAAATCATAGTAAAGACATATGCAAAGCTGATCTGCAAGATGCACACAACATGACACCCTTGCATCATGCTGCTGCTTGTGGTAACATGCCAATTGTAACTTTTCTGATTGATCAGGTAACATTTTATTCTATAAGGTCTGGGCTTTGAGTGATGCCAGGGGAGAAGGAGGGGAGGACGTAACTCGAAGAAGTGGTGAATAACATAATATGAGGCCAACATTAGACTGCTGGATATTAAAAAGACATAGGCACAAATGAGACCTATTTCCATGATATTTGGCTAATAAACCTATATTCTTCGATTGCATGTTAAGTTATGTCGTGGCCATGTTGGAGCCATTTTACAAAAGATATCTCATTAGCATCCACTGTTAACGGCACCACAAATAGACCTTTCCCGAATTCGCTTGACTGATCACGAAACAATGGTTTCAAGTCAAGGTTGAACTTGATGAATAAAAGAATCAAGTTCAGTCTCGACTTCAAACCATTGTTTCGTGGTCATCCAAACGAATTCGGGAAAGGTCTATTGTGGACTCTATGTTTTTTCTTTGACTCTCTTGGGAATGCTTGCAACCAATTAATAGTTCAATCAATGTTAAAATACCTATTAAGCTTCATGAAAGAACGGGCTTCTTCTTCGATACATAATTCAATAGAAACCACAAAATATCCCAAGTTATACAATAGAACCAAGCTAACAAATATTACTATAGGTTTGCGGCACATGTAAAGGAGGACCGAATCTACCAAGGTTAAATATTGAATTTGTTTGAGAAGAATTATTATTGAAACTCTATCTGTTTCATTACTTGAGCAATGTCTTGCCCGTCTTCTTATTAAGCTAAAAATAAAGAAATATTTACCTTATTTTTAAAAGAAATGCTTCAAATGAACATCCAACAGTTTACATTCCCAAAACATTCCTGGATTCACGCGCCATGTTTAAAAACATAGAGAGAAGACTGGACCGAGTAGTTACTAGTTCCTTCCGTTGCCTCTATTTTTACTTTTTAGTTTATTTTTTAATTTTATTTCTTTATTTTTCCCATTGCTAACTTTTCCTTATTTATCATCAGCCATCTTTATCTTTTTTTAAAGATACATATAACGGCATTTTAAAATGGTTTCCACATCTGATACGTAGATGAATTAGAGTGAAATAAAAGTCATAGATGGGCTCCCTGTGGAACAAGGTCAAACGCGCGCGCGAAAAGTTTCCCGCCAAAAATCAAAATTTGCGGAGTGGAGCCAGTTGTAAAGATATGTTTACTATAGTTTTTAAAATAGCTTCTTCCCTTATTGCTAGGTGGATTTTTTATTGAATTCTGCCCAAAATGCTTTGTATTTCAGGGCGCTCAAGTTGATCCACGAGATAACAAATGCCGTACCCCGCTGTTTCTAGCTTCCACGTCAGGATTTAATGACACCGTACAGGTCTTGCTGGATAGAGGCGCTGATGTTTCTCTAAAAGACACGGAGAGGCGCTCAGCATTTCATGCTGCAGTCGGACATGCGGGCGTAATGGAAACGTTATGCAAGGTATAAAACTAAATTTCGAGCGTCTTTTCCATAGTGTAGCAAGCTTTATCGTTTTCGATTACCGGGTGGGATTTTTGTCTTGAAGGGTACTGTTTAGCTCCGAATTTCTTATGATTCTTGGTCATCGTTTTATTGTCTTCGTGCTTCAGGTGCCTTGCAACGCCAAGAAATAGCTAAAACTTCAAGTAAAAAGTAAAAATATACAAAGAAAAACGTGCATTTCTATTAAATTACCTTCAATTTTGGTTTCAGAGTCCTCTTAGCAAAACATTAATAGTCGATAAAGATGTTACAGGGTACTCGCCAGTTCACTATGCAGCGAGAGCTGGGCATCTCAAGGTAATAAAAACAACCTGTGTTTAGTTTAATATAGTTTTCCAATAATTTTTTTTCTTTGTAAGAGGAACTGTATTTCCCTGTCTCCTTTACTGTAGAACATTACCCTGTTTTTATCGAAGAACAAAGCAGCAAAAACTGTGACGTCAGACTCTCTGGACACGCCCCTCCACATCGGAGCAAAGTAAGCATACTGGACCGTCGTAGAGGAATACCTGTGTTGCAGGAACAGTCATGGATACGCCCCTTATATAGCATATATGTTATTATTATTAATCAGTTCATTAATATTTGTGTCGTGCATAGGATTGATAGAATAATAGAATAATAGAAGGGAAGGGATAAGATGTTTTTTTAAGGTTTTGAAGAGGTTTTCAACCCTTCATGTGATGTTCTGAATACGTGAATACACCTCAGTTTCAGCTCTCCACATAGCAATGACCTAGCATAATTATTTAGCACTAATGATAAATTCAGATATATCATTCCTTGCGTATTCATGGCATAGGCACTAGATATTTTTTGCCCACAAAAGTCAAGTGATATTTTTATATGTTCAGGTACGGCTGGCTGGCTATCGTTCAAATGCTTCTCAAGAAAAGGAACGCGCGTTTGATCAACGCTCAGAATAAACAAGGAAGAACTGCTCTTCACTTGGCAGCGGGGGAAGGTCAAGAAGATATTACTGAGTTGCTTTTAGTTGAAGGAGCTACGATCGAAAGGTCAGTACCTATACCAAACTTGCGCAAAGGGGGAAAGGGAAATGCCCTTCCACCTCCTAAAATGCAAGCTTTCATTTCATAAATAGCTATTTTTGACAAAAAGTCAAACAGTTTTGAAAAAACTGAAAAAATTTATAAATGGTTTTAGGTCGGGCTAGCAGAAACACAATTCAGTGCACTCAAATTCTAAATGGTGGTTCTTTCGATAGCTTGCGCACGTGGAGTTCCTTTGGAATTGGCTAAAAATATCGTACCAAAACGCGCTTGCTCGCACCTTGTTTATGTAAAAAAGGAAACTGTAGTCTTCTGACATTTTAGTTTTGGGTAGTGCAACAGTCAGAGAGGATGGAAGTTTCCTAGAAATTCAATGATATTCGCAATGTTCTTTTATAGGGACCGAAGTGAACGTACACCATTACATCTCGCAGCACTGAACGGATCAGAGACGTGTATAGATTATATTTTACAGTCCCATCCAGACTGCCTTAACACAGTGGACAAAAATCAGGTACATGCCAAAATAGAGGTTACGACCTCAACGGGAAATTTATTTTTCTTAGCAATATTTTCTATTTTTGAATTGCAGAACACAGCTATCAATTTAGCTGCCATGTCCGGTCACGTCCAAATTGTTTCTCGACTGTTATCAGTTCCAGAGCAACAAATTCTTTTGAATAAATTTAATCAAACTGTTCTGGACCTTGCTATCAACGCCGACAAACACGAGGTTGCTATGAAAATAGCAGAGCACGAAAGGTAGGTTTTTTGATAAATAATTTTAAGGTCACGTGACCTAGTGCTTACTAGTGCAACATTCCAACTGAATATATAATCTTTAAGTTCACGGAATTAAACCCTCATAAAAAGAACGTTATCTCGTTATCAATGTTTGTGCGATCCAACATGGTTGCCTTCACGTGATCGTACAAGACCACTTTTAATAAAACTATAAACTCGGACTTTGAAGGTCTTGTGTCTTAGCTCTGATTTTTTCCCTGATGTGTGCTGCGATCCCCTGTTATTGCAAGCTTAGCGGCAATGCGCATTCGCACTAGAAACAAATTTGCAATTAGTGACGGACAATGATAAAAAAATATACACAAAAATCGCCATTTTATACCTTTGGGCATTCCATAGGAAGCCTGAGTAATTATCTTCTGATGCTACTCGTTTGATGTGATACATGTATTGGTGTTTCTAGATGGAAGGACGTCATGTTAGTTTCCCCTGGGGGAGGATTGGCGCAGCTTCAGACACTTGTCAAGAGAATGCCTGACGTCGCTGAGGTAGACTACTTGCTATGCTACTAGCAGGCATTGTTCATGTTTATTTACTATGTTGCAGGCAAATGTTGTATTAGCCATCCAGATGGCATTCCAGTGCATTGTGCGACGCAATTTCCTCAACCTCTGCAGAATGAATACTATATTTATATCTTTATCTTTCCTTGAGATTGTTCTCCGCTCATCAGAGATCTTGCACATAAAGTATTGAATTTTTCACTATTCCAGATTCCAGATCGTTTTAAAAAGCCACTTTTTTTCGTTTTTCAATAGAAAATTTTAGATCAATGTGTAACGAGCGAAGGGGACCCAAACAGTAAAGACTACAAGGTAAAGTAAATTGTGAAAAGTAACTTATTTGGCAGATTAATTTTCAGAAATCTATAAATATATTTTCATCGATATATATTAAAATATTTGTAGCATCAAAACGACAGACAAGGCTTGGTCCCGGAGATGAGTGCGTTGCTCAAAACGGCTGTCCCAAGCATAAAATATTCATATTCATCTTCTGATGAACCGTAGATGAATATTCAATAAATGCTGAGAAGACTTTTCAGCTTAGGCAAAATGTTTTCCCATTTTAGTCCACGTGACATTCTCTAGAGTATTATTTCTTTGTTTAACGGTTGTGCGTGTTAAGACACACGGATATGGATTCAACTCAAACAAAGAATCTAATTATCAAGGGAATGGCACGTGGTAACAATCATTTTGATTTCTCTATAGATTACGTACGATCTTGGTCTAATTCAGGGCAAAAACAGTTCCGATCAGAAGCTCACGGACACAATGATAGCTTTGAGAGTAAGTTCATTAACAAACATTATCTTATGATTTCATAGCAGTAAGTTCGTGGAATAAGTCATTAATCAAAAACCACGTGATATGTGAGAAGGTGGCGGCAAGGATGTGCGTACGCAGTAGTTGACTATTGGTGATGCAATAGTCCCCTTCACAGTTCCCTGCGGCATCTTGAAAGGTAGCCGTGCCTTTGAATCGAAGCGAGACGAACAGTGAGCTTGCAATGATAGAGACATATGAATAATTGTCCAAGGTGTTAAAAAAAGTCTCTATCATTGCAAGCTCACCGTTTGTCTCGCTTCGATGCAAAGGCACGGCTACCTTTCAAGATGGCGCAGAGAACTGTAAAAGGGACTATTCAATCCACTGCGGCAGCGACCCAAATCAAGACGTCCGGTATATAATGACCAAGTAATTATTCTTTCTTATATATATATTTTCCAGACAATGGCTGAAAGACGACGGGAAAACTGCCTGACACACCCAGTCTGTTTCTTCTTGATGAAATTAAAATGGTAAAGAAAGTAGCCATGTTGGATGCTAGAAAGATTAGAACCGCAATCCAATATGGCCGCCTTATGCTAATTTAACCAATCTATAGGAACTTTTTGTGCTTTGCCTTTCTTCGATTGGCTATTAATTTTCTCACGTTGCTAGACAGCAAAATTATAATGGTTTATGATTCATCTAACGGCGCTGTTCATTTTTATAAAGAATGTATTCAAATACGGTTTAAAAAGAATACCCTGATTTTTATTTACTCATTTTCCGTGTCTGTATCGTATCGTTCACTCCCTCAACCTATTACCTCCCTTACCATAACATGCATGTGATACTCTCTTTGTATAGACCCCTTGCAGCACTTTGGAAGGCAGCTCATTCTGGGGGATAAAACAAGGGGTTCCAATTCTCAGGAGATTGGAATTCTTTTGTTTTGTCCCCCAGATAGAGCTGCTTTGAAGTCATATGCAAGGGGTCTATTATATTACTTTTTCGGCAACTTTACGCACTCTATTCTTGCCTCCAACATCGTGCCTTAGTAAATATTCACGTTTTATATTATATTAGGAAAAAATTTGGATGGCTTACCTTCACAATCAACATCTCACTCTACCTTGCCTTCTTGTTGTGCTTTACTACGCTGGTCGTGTATCTGAGATCCAATGATAAAGAGTTTTGTGGCTTTCAAATTAACCAAACACGTATATGTGGCTCGCCTGTGATTGTAAAGGTAAATATAGAATTTCCCTACACTCAAATATAACAAATGCCCAACAAATTAAACGTGGGTGTGTAGAGTGTAATAGAGCGGTCTTACGGAGATTAAAATGTGTTTTACATTTCGATCATATTTATATTTCAGGGGGATCCTAACGCCTACTTAGCAGAGTACACTACAGTGGTAAACATATCAACAGCTATTTAAAATTTAAAAAAAGCGAAGGTTTAGTTGCATGTTGCATGAGTTGCATGTTGCTTAGACTACTAAGCTCGAAATGTATCATATTTATATGCAAATGAATCTGGTCAGCACAAAAGAATTTATGCCCAGAAAACGTGCAGACAAAGTTTAGGAAAAGATTCATATCCTTGTGACCTTAGTGCAATTTGGGCTCGGTATATGCGACAAAACCTTCGTCAATCTTTTCTTGAAATTGCTGTATCTATCGCTAGTGATATTTCCAAAAACCTCATTATTGCTGGTTTTCAATCATTCCCAAAAGAATGAAATAACAAAAGTCACGGTGGCCATGTTGGATGACATAACCAAAGAGCAGGCCTGCCAAAGAGACTAATGACGAATCCTTTGTTAAATTCATCCAACATGGCGGCTTTGAAAGCCATCAATTAATAATGACGGAGCAGTTGACGTTTCCTAATTGATTTTCTTTTTCTTCAAGCAATTATATACCGTTCGTATGCTTCATACTTTGGTCATCGTGCTAGCTGTTTTTCACCTTAGCAAAGAGATTCTGCAGATTTATAGACTAGTAAGTAGAAATTTAAAAAATTGATTTATATTTCTACTTTTTGTAGGAACGTATATTATATTTCAGTTAAAGTTAAAGGCAAAAAGAAAAAAGTAAAGTTGGGATACAGTAGCCTGGGAATGAGGGCCAGCAGAAAAACAGCTAAACGCGCTGTGATTGGCTGAAACAAAATTCACTGCTAAGCTGGAATGTAACACTTCTTCATCTCTCTCGCTTATCTACATGGGCTCCCTATGGACTCACCATATTTTTTTTCCTGCTTTCAGAGATTCAAGTACCTTTTAGATTTGACCAACTACATCGAATGGGGAATCTACGCAGGCGCACTTGTATATGTAATCCCTTATAAGATGTGCAAGTACCACGACGTTCCACAGGCTGCTGCCTTCTCGCTTTTTCTCGGCTGGTTAAACCTAATTTTGTACTTCAGAAGGTATTGATTCTTTCAGTAGAAGACAGGCGCTGCTAAATTTCAAGTGCATGTAGGCTACTGTCATATCGATATATATTATATTATTAATTAATTGTAAGATTACGGATAAAACGCATAATTTTTTTTAAGCATGACGTTTTGGCTATAACTATATAGCATTAATCAGAATGCTAATGATAATGATATATTGGGTGACGCCACGTTACGTCATGTGACTTGACGAGACGGGACGGGACAGGACAGGACGGGACAGGACAGGATATCAATAATAAAATAATTAAAGAATTGATATTTTTGTATTTCATTCTATTATCTATTTTAAGAATGTCCTTTTATGGAAAATATGTCATCATGCTAACTACTATGTTCAAAACACTGCTTCAAGTAAGTGACTGCAGGTTCTCTTATCGCGTTTTTAGTAAAGGTCATTGTAATTCGTATCTTATGAAATAAATAAAAAACTTGCTTGCTGTGCTGTATGCAGTTATAAAGCACTTGGGGATTGGCAGATCACTCGCGAAGTGACGAAAAGCACTCCGCTACGTGTCGTCCTTTTCCTAACATTTCTCTCGTGTTCTGCCAACTCCGCGAGCTTTATAACTGCACACAACGCACGCGCGCGTTCTCTATTTCTTCAACACAAACTGGGAGACTCAGTCCTTAGTAAAAGAGAATACGCTACTTTGGTAATGAAAATGTTTACTTATTCCAGTTTACGCAGGGGGCAAAATATATATCTATATATCTCAAGAATTTGTTGAATTAATGAGACAAAATGAGACCGTGTCATACCATTGAGAAAAATGGAACGAGGACAACATTACATTAGCAAAGAAGTGTACTCTTTCAGTTCATGTTACGTCATAGCCGCCATATTGGTTGACGATAACAAAGCTTTCCTTATTAGCTTCTCTTAGATCAACCTATATGGCAGCTCAGCTGTTTCATTGTTATTCAAATCTCGATGGATTTTGAGTCATGTGGTTGCACTCCAAGAATTCGAAACTGGAGTTACAGTAATATAACACTGTTCCATGTATATATGTACTATTTGGACTCTAATTCATTGTTCGATGTTTCTTCAGGTTATGGTTCTTTTTGCCTTGTTTTTGATGGCTTTTGGGACGACCTTTTTTGTGCTGATGGACAACAAGGTAAAAAGGGCCGTTTCTTGGTAGTCCTGGGGTGCCTGTAACTTCCCATGAGCGTTCCAGTCATAACGAGGGGAAGGAGAAAGAGGGATGATCTTTTGAGATAGGGAGGGGGAGAGGGAAATGGAATGGGTACCGCAAGGTAATGACACGTAGTAACTTACGCCCAAAGAAGAAAGGTATATTGCTTTTTTTCTTTCTTAATTCTTATTTGTTCGTAATTCCCCTTCATTTTGTTTTCACTCAGCTGGCCTACAGCACACTGTGGTACTCAATCATGAAGACCTTCTCCATGACTTTGGGAGAACTAAACTACGAGGACACATTCATTCCTTCTTCCAAGCTGCACTACGCTCCTGCTATGAACATACTCTTTCTGCTCTTCTGCTTAGGAATGCCAATCATTCTGATGAATATGTTGGTACGTATAGACATTTTGGGGTATACGGGTTTAGCAAAGAAAAAATATTCTGCATAATATTCTGCATAATCTAATAATGGCGACCAATTTGAGTAACTATTGTTCTGGACTTGTTCTACATTTCACAGGTTAAACATGCATATCATTTATATTACAGATCGGTTTAGCTGTCGGAGATATCGATAAGATTCAGCAAAAATCTGTTATGGATCGTTACGTCATGCAGGTATTTGAATAGAAGTTTCCATGGTAACCAGGCCCTTTATATTTAAAATATATGCATTTCTGAACTTAAAAAATGCAAGGTAAGATAATTAGACACTATGAGAACAAAATAATAATAATAATAATAATAATAATAACATTAAAATTAAAAAAAGGGGCGCGGAAGAGGGGGAGTGTGGTTTTGAAAATAAGGTTTATGAAAGACATATTTTGGTTTGCAGGTTGAGCTCCTAATAGAGGTTGAGGAATCTCTTCCTTCATTTATCTTGAGGCGAGTTCAAGTGAGCGAACACGTGGCATACCCAAATAGGAAATCTCCTTTAAAAGCCAGGGTATGTAGCAAAGAAAACATCAGAATATAGTAATAGCAGCGCCAGCTGCAACTACAACCACGGCAGCAACAACAGAAGCAGCATAAACAGTAACTAAATGACAAAAAAACAATAGCAACTATACTATTACTGCTACTGCTGCTGCTGCTGCTGCCGCCGCTACCACTGCCACTGCCCCTACCCCTACCCCTACCCCTACCCCTACCCCTACCCCTACCACTACCACTACTGTGCATGCTGTCCTTGTAACTGTCTAAAACTAAATGTGTTTGAAAGGTGTTGGACACCATTCAAGGGTTCGGCGAGCCTGAAAAGACAGAAGATGAGGACTCGAATCTCCCACCTGCCTTGGCTCAAATCGTTGACAGGATAGAAGATCATGAGAATAAGTAAGAAGAATAAAATAAAGATACTTAACAAATAGACATCAGTTTTTTATGTGTCTGTACTCTTATGACGATAAATTGCGTGTCATCACATTGTCAAAGTAGTATGYGGATCCACAAGGCGTAGTAATATCATCTCCATAAATATTTTTACAATAACTTAAAAATTTCTCGCGCGCTGATTGGTTATTTTTTATCATCAATAAGAGGACAGACAGATAAAGCTGACGTCAACGAGCGCGCGCTCTTTCCATTGCTTATTTTGATCACTAAAAATGAGAAGTTTTTATAGTTTTTTTTTGTTATTGTAAAAAACAAATAGACATCAGTTTTTAATGTGCTTCTGTCCTCTTATTGACAATATATTTTGTCATAACATTGTCAAAGTAGTATACTTTGACATGTGATGACGCAATTTATCGTCAATATGAGGACAGACACATAAAAAACTGATGTCTATTTGTTAAATGTTTCCCATGTACTCATACGAAAACCACTCTATGTTGCACTAGTAAGCAATGGGGTTCGAGTTATTTTATTTTTTTCTTTCTCTTTGATAGGATTGATGAGATGTATGCTATGATGAAGGAACACACAACACTTCTAAGGGCTATTGTTCGCCGTGAAGGAATCGATACCGAAAGTGGAGGAACCTTAAAGAAAGGAATTGTTGGCTGGTTTAAGCGGCACTGATCGACCAAAAGTAAAAGCAGATGGAAGATGGGATATATTCAGTATCTTACATGATTGAGTTGGCGGTGGTGGCACTCTCAGTCGAGCCTCACACAACCATCAAAATAATATTCATAAGTATTATTTAAATAATAGGGTATTAAGGTGGCTGACTACTTTTGAACGTTCGATTTGAGCCTACGACGTGCGCGCGCTCAAAAACCGCTGGATAATTTTCACGATTTTAAGAGGACAAAACCCTAAAATTTTGCACGGAACTCTACACTTTTTTGTTGTTGTTATTTTGCGGAATAACAGGTAATATCCCATTATTTTTCAAAGTTTAATACTATTCTGTTTATTAGAACGATGTAAAAAATCCTTCTGCTTGTTTTGTGCTCAATTTTTACGATAACTTGCACGCCGTAGAACCTGAACAAAAAAACGATTTTCCATTGTCTACAATAGTTTATTAAAACAACTTTTATTAATATTTTATAAATATAGTGTAAGATACTTGTTCAAAAAAAATTACTTATATTTCTTCCTTCGTTACGGTTTTATGATTTTTTTGTACAGAGCTGATTTTCGCTATTTTCCTTCGAAAATTGTACAAACGCATGTCATTCTGGAGTGATTATCTCAAAAACAAGCTCGGGACACCCCATTTTTCTTTGCATTTTCAAAATCAGTATTAAGTTTCAGGTTAAAAAGTTTCAATTTTCAATTTTCTGTTTATTATTTACCAAAGTAGTCAGCCACCTTAAGGTGGCTGCCTACTTTTGAACGTTCGATTTGAGGCCACGATGTGCGCGCGCTC